AATCAAATATCTCAGCCTGCACGTTCAAGATATACGACCATCGAATCAGAAAGAAATGCATTTGATTAAATCATTGAGAAATGATAAATTTATTTCGCGTCTCTGTATATCTGCATCAGTTATTTCGCGTGAACTTACAGAAGCATTCATTCATGCTGCAAAAGAACTTAATACATTAACATATCTGGAGTTTTACAATAGTCAACTAACAGACGATAATATCGCACAGTTGCAGTCGTTGCATAACAATGGAAGTTTGATTCAAATGACCTTCTCAGAACAACCACGTTGGCATCTGATGTTTAAAGAAATAAATGCGCAACTAAAGACGGGTAAGAGCTGAAGAAAGTCTAATTTTGTCTGGAGAAAAGAGAATGATTTAAAAGGAAAGCAACAGATTTACAGATACCAATGATGCCAAGGATTTTCTTTGCTATTCACTTGTAGTTTTGAGAGTTAGTCCAATAGGAAAGCGAGCATTTTAGAACTAAGTCACACTCGACAATGAGATGACCCTCTTTTTTCGGATCAAAAATGAAAACATGGCTTTCAATATCTATCTATATATTTCAAATTTCAGCTTTCTATGCTGTATCTATTCTAAGTTCTCACAAATGAATTGAACAAAAGTTTTGAGAAAAGAAAGTCATTCTCTTTTCTTCTTCAATAACATTCAAAAAGCTTGGTGAAGTTTTCTTCGATAGATCTCGATCTCGATGTATAAGATCAAGAAATATCTCTAACGATAAAACGAAATTTGCGCTACGAAACTCAACATTTCGATATATTAAAGACAGTGAAGTGAAAAATACGTTTTTATGAGCTTTTTTGTTTTATCTCAGGTGACATGAGTCCTCTTCTTTTTAAAATACTTCAGTAGATCGACTATTTCAACTTTGTAAAAGTTTATTTTAATAGTTCAATTGTTGATTTGTATATTGAAATGTATCTTTTGTTTATGTTTTTTGTCTCTTCAGTTCTATTTTGCTCATCTCTATATTATTTAGGTTAATTTTCACATTTATTTGACAGGACCATCCATTGAACCATTGATTATTTTTATGATAGTACCATTTTTTCTCCTTTATTCACAGTAGTAATCAATTATTTCTATGTCACATTTCCATTGTTATTTATGCATAGGGTGTGGACGTGGGCCTTGTCTTCGCTTACAATCACACCAAAAAACGAGGGGCTCAATGTTCGAATTGAAAACTTAATCATAAATACAACTCATACGGACATGTCTCTACGAAAAATTTCATCTCCTACGATCTTGTCATTCTGAAGATATAGATCTGCCAAACATCGATGTGTCATATGTTCAATGTAGTATTTTTCATAAAAAAAATCAGACGTTCAATGTTTTTCAAAACGGGTACCGTTAAGATTCATAAAAGTGCTTCATCTACGAAGTATATACAATTGAGAAAAATACATATTTTCTATTTTTCTTACACTAGCATACAAAAGCCTAATACTTTTGGTATCTGCCTCAGTCAAATCGTCCTAGTCAGTGGCTAAGGATATGGATGTTCGTCCGCCTTCACTTACTTAAGAAAAATCCCTTATTCATGGGGTACGTTATTATAATAAACATTTGTTTCTTACTCTTTTTCGTTATACTTTTATCCTAACCAGGTACAAGAGCATTCACATCGAAGCCTATTTTAACATTAGAATTCATAAGAACACAATGATAAGAATGACTCGCAGTAGTTTTCTCATATGAACAAAAATAGAGTAGAAAAAAAGTACTGTATATCATTTTCTCAGATCATTCTACACAAAATTTTTCCATATATCAACAGTTTTCTATTGACTATAAATCATTTATTTGGTTTCGGAATGAAAATTGAGAGATTTTTAATAAAACTGTAAGAAAAACTCGTTGAAAAGATAAATCCAAGCAGCTAACATATTAGAAAATAAATTTTAAAAAAGTAAATATGATAAAAATAATTCTATTAAAATGAGAGCTATAATAAAAAATCTCTGTGAACAAAGACATTCGATTATCATTTTAGAAATGTACGATGAAAATATTCACTCGAGATAAATAAAATAATCGTCATACTGTATTTCATTCATGCCTTTTGAAATATCTGTTTTCAGACGATAGTTCTCATCTTCTTCTACAAAATTAGATATCGGAGATGCCTACAAGTATGATAACGTTTTATAGTCTTCAAACCTAAAAATCAGGTTTTCGAATTTCGGTCGTGAAGTAGAACGTTTTTTTTCAGTCTTTGAAAGTTAAAAATAATGAAAAAACTGCCAAGGGCGGTACAAAGTGGTTTTCAGAGTTTTTCTCTATAGATCTACGTCCAAATGAACGGAGTAGAATTAAAAAGGAGTTAAATGATTATCGAAGCATTGTACCGTTATGTCTTTTTCTTGTTTTTTGGCGGATTAAAGCAAAATTTTAAGTTATGAGTTGTATATTATCTGATTCCGATGATGAAGTTTGTCAAATAGGTGTGATGACCTTGATCAATGTCTCTTGTTTGAATTTGATAAGAAAACAAACAATAGAACTGGGGTTTCAGCTTAGCATTACTATCGCATTAACTTAATGCTAATAGTAATACATTTATGTAACGACCTTAAGACAAAAGCATCGTAATTTGTATTGATTAATGTGATACTAAAGCGAATTTGATATTCTTAACTAATTTCAACACTGTTCGTGTACAGTTTTAATACAAAAGCATTGTAGCTACTCTTAAGTTAATACAATATTTGGTATAGGTTAAGACATGACTCCAACACTCATACCCATAACCTTTTCCACCACCCTTTATTTTAACATGTTTTCTGATCACGTACTTTGTTAATAATGATGTCAACTAAGAGCATAATCAGTTTTGGATAAAAGTTCAGCTATTACAAATATATATTTCTCATATGTCTATTGCACTTTATATAATTGAATAGTACAAAAAAAATTTTAAATGATCCCAAATGTATAAAAAAATCATTCTATTTATGTTATTATTATAGAATCTGCAATATATACGTAGAGGACAGTAACATATTCCATAAATCACGTTTTGTTGATGTACAGGAACATGATTTTTAAAATGTTCAAGTTGATCAGTTTTTATTTTTTTTCCTGAACAATATATTCAACTGTTTTTCATTTTCACATGTTGATGTTTAGGTTGAAAAAGTAATCCAGCATGTTCATTGATATCATGTAAACAAAATATATTCTTCGCTAAATTAAGGCTTTGCTTTGTAAAATATTTTCCAACTTTTTGCTAAATTAAATATGTTGTCTTTCTTAATTTGTTGTGATTTCCGAACGAACCCTATGCCAATCTGTTTACCATCTTGTAACAAATGACTTATTGCTTGAATTTTCTTGGTATAGAAATGTATATCAAATTTTAAACTCTCTTGCAATTCAAGTTTGATATGCACTCTTACAAATCAGTATCCACCTAATAAGTCATTTGTTACAAAATGGTAACACCATTGAATGTTTATAAGGTGCCCATGAATATTGTGTCGGTGTAACTGTAGGTAAAAGATAGAAACGCTCACACTCACCCACATCTATCCTCTAGAGTACCCAAATACATACGGAATACGTTTGAAATTTATTTGTAAGGGTCAAAAATTTCTCATTTTGAAGCTCTCCTAACAAGATCTTGATATTAGCTCAAATATTTAAAATCAGCATTCTAGCAAGACGCGGATAAAGTCTGAACATTTCTCAGTTTCGTGACAATTCTTTGTAGCAGATATTTTCAGCAACTTCATAATAGCTTAACAAAACCATTTCTAGTTGTCTGAGTAAGACCCTGCTTTCCAACTTACAAATAGTATCCTCATCTCATGCTTGTAGAAAACTAACTAAATTTTTGTCGTATTCTGTGGAAAGCTTGAATAGAATTAGCATTAGTTTGCTCAGCATTTCAGAAGTAGAAGGCATCAGATTGCAAAGATCTTCGTGGAGTTCTGTCAAGTTTTCTCAGTTTCACATACGTACAAACCTTCTGATGATCTTATTAAGACACTATCAGAAGCATCCTTCGAAGAACTTGATATTAGTTGGCAAAAATTCAATGAAATCTAATCTGCATCCTGTATGCGAATATTTAGAAGAACTTTTGACACATACGTATTCATCAACCAGAAAATCATGTGATCAGAAATTTTAACGAACCACATGAAAATCATCCTCAAAGATACATACTGAATCCTTAAGGTTCCCTGAAAACATAGGGATTATATTTAACATTTGTTGTCCTAGAATGCAAGAACCTCACAAAAAGATGCAGATAGAATCTCCTCAGAGGTTTTCGGTTTCGGAGTCTGACAGAGTTGACTGTTTTATTGTTTAAATCTTTATCTGCTGTTTATATAAATTCTTCAAGCATTTTAGCTTGCTAGCATCCTCTCTGAAAATCTCGCTAACATTATGCATTCGAAATTACGAATAAAATCCTCAGATACTCATGTTTTCCTATCGAAAGTTTACACTGTATTAGCATTACTCTGTCTCAATAAACCTTCTTACCGCAATATCAAGGTGCAGTTTTCATCCGCAGTGAAGATTCTACTTTTTAACATCTTAAAAGTCTTGGTAACAAGCAGAAATGATTTAAATGTAAGAATCGTTATGGAAACCTCGTTGTTTATAGGGAATTAACAAAAAGATTTTGTATTTTTATCTGTGTAAAAAGCATTTTAGAAAGTTCTACCGAATGCCCTACGAAGAAGAAGAATGTCGTATCCGTAGCTCTTGCTATTGCGAGAGAGAGCATTTTGTCTTTGACGACGATCACGATTGTTTTGCTTTTTCATTTATTGTAGTAGTTCCCAACGTTTTAGTCAATGCTCGATGGGCACAGAACGGAGTGACCGTCGCTGGAGGTCATGGAGTCGGTAATCCCACCAATCAGCTCAACTATCCTCGTGGTCTATTCGTTGGTGATGATCAAACGATCTTCATCGCTGACACGCAGAATAATCGTATCATCAAATGGAAGATGGATCATACGAATGGAAAAGTGGTAGCTGGTGGCCATGGCGAAGGAAATCAATTGGATCAACTGAATTGTCCAGCCGATGTATTAGTCGACAAAGAGACGGATAGTCTCATTATTTGTGATCGTGGAAATCAGCGAGTCGTACGATGGTCTTGTTGTGGGGATACCCCTCAAGGAGAAATTCTCATCGATAACACCAAGTGTTTTGGATTGGCCATGGATGATCACAGATATATCTACATCTCAAATACTGATACACATGAAGTAAGACGATATCAAATAGGAGACAAAAATGGAACTGTTGTTGCTGGTGGCAATGGCAAAGGTAATAATCTCCGTCAACTCAACTTTCCGACATATCTCTTCGTTGATCGCGAACAGACTGTCTACGTATCAGACAACTACAATCATCGTGTTGTGAAATGGAGTAAAGATGCAAAAGAAGGGATCGTTGTCGCTGGTGGTCAAGGCCTCGAAGATTCTCTGGCGCAATTGTCGTATCCTCACGGATTGTTCGTTGATATGTTGGGTACTATCTATGTGGCAGACTCATCGAATAATCGAGTGATGCGTTGGCCTAAAGGAGCAAAGCAGGGCACTGTCATCGTAGGTGGCACTGGTCTAGGAAAAGGAACCAATCAGCTGCACGAACCCGTGGGTTTGTCCTTCGATCAGCAAGGCAATCTCTATGTGACCGATCGGCGGAATAATCGAGTTCAACGTTTTTCTATTGAATGGACTTGAAACGACGATTAATGTCATTCTACTTTTCTTCAAATAAATCACATTGAATTGATGAAAGAAATCTTTATTCTTTTCTCGCTCATGTACGACCAGGAATCACTCTGGTGAAACCGTGGTGAGCTTGATGCTCATGCACGCACATGAAGTAAGGGTGTGGGTGAAGTCGGGTGTGTGCATGGGTGGAAAACCCACACGCACAAACACGTCCACTATCTATAACCCATACCACACTCATCCGCTCATCAACACGCATAGGCACTTTACTGAAAACTCCACTTCAATGGAAGGCATATTTCTATATTCAGGTCACTAAACGTGTATATTTCTGCATAGTTAATTAAATTGCATTCAAAAGAGTTTGATAGTGTGAGTGTGAGTGTGAATATGCAGCTCCTGTCCGCAGCGACAATCATTGGCACACTTTACTCTCTGACATTCATACTCATATCCACATCAACAGCAAACTTCAAAAATATCTTATGAACGATAGAAAAAGACGATCTTCCATTGAAAGCAACTGCTTTTTTGTATGGATCAAAAGTGTGGAGTGCACATTAGACAATAGAACTTTATGAGCTCTATTACTGGAGAAAATATCAAGGCATTCAATTATTGCTGCATAAAACGCGCTCGACTGACATTTTGCTAACAAAATGTCAAAAGAATAAAGCCAAGCTCTATTTAGAGTATCAATATATTTTATATTGAATTGAAGAAAATTTCTGAAATTTTTTAAGTTGTAATAGAAATCACTAACACACAATGATTAAAAGAGTATAAAGTGAAAACTTCTTTATTTTGAAAGTTCACAATCATTCTCTCGGAGAAAATACGTAACAAAAATGATCAAAAACTCAGAGAATTCTCAGGTACTACCCCATCGTGAATTCTTCATTTTGTCGAAAACTTACTCTGTGGCGGTTTCGATAATTCATTTTAAAACAAACTCATGCAAGAAAAGAAAAAAATTGATAAGACGATTGAAACGTTTTTTTTTCACGAAAGTATTCGCTCCTGTGTATATTTCACTTCTTCATATCTTTATTAATATTTGTCATATACAAACACATGCGCAATATAATCATTAGCAAAAAGCACTCAAAGAACAAGATAAAAAAATGGCAGAATCCTTATCAATTATATCGCTCAAAAATTCAATATCTCGAGACTTCACCATCTTTTTTCGCAACTACTCCTAAGTTAACATAGTTTTTCTTTTATTCAAGAAAATCTTCTTTTTGCTTTTATCAAAACTCATATCAAATCTTAATTTACCATAGAAGCATCGATACATGGCCTCTACAACACGAAAGAAACGGCCCTGCTCAAAATGCGACAAAGCAGCGGGCATATTTACTTGCTTCGGATGTCAAAAAGATTTTTGTTATCGTCATGTAGCTGAACATCGACAAGAACTTAATAAACAAATGGATGAACTCACTACTAATCATGATCAATTACAACAAACAATTGTCGAACAAGAAGCACAACCAAATTGTCATCCTCTTATACAAAAGATCAATGAATGGGAACAAGAATCAATCAATAAAATTCATCGAGCAGCTGATGATGCTCGCAAACAATTATTAACTATTCTTGCGACACAAAGAAGTAAAGTGTCAAATGATTTAACTCATCTTATTCAAGAATTGAGCGAAGCACGTAATCAAGATGACTATGTAGAAATAGATTTGAAAGAATGGATGAAAAGATTAAGTGAGTTACAAAAAGATTTGAATGCAGCTCAGTCGATTGATTTTGGTACAGACAATAATGATAGTGCATTGATTTCAAAGATTTCTATTAAAGAAATTTCAACTGACTTTTTCTCACGAATCATTGGCGATATCCAAATTATAGAAAATGGTAGGGTCGTTGTTCATGGTCAAACCTATCAAAATGCTGCAGCATGTGGCACAGGTGAATATTCATGAGGACAACATCAGTTTTATTTTAAAATTAAGCAATTATCTGATATGAACACTTTTTCGTGTGGTATTTTATCAAAAACTACGCCTCTACAGGCACTTATAAATGTCGCAGTGAATAGTAATATGTCTAGATCCAGATCTATAAAAACGGACCCTTATAACATTCCCAATGAAAATGGACTTCTTTATTTTTCTGGTTTCAAATTATAACTATTCACAAAACGATATTCTTGAGCTTCTTATCGATTGTGATCGACGAAAAATACGTTTAAGTAATCAGCGAACACAACAGAAACAAGAACTCAATGTAAGCTTGAATACATGTCCGTTTCCTTGGCAATATTTCGTCATACTTTACAATGTCAATAATCGTATTCGTATTTGCGAAGGAAATGTGCCTGTCAATAGTTTCAACCAAATAGACTTCTAATATTCATGCTTCATTATTTCTAACAAATCATTGTTTTGTTTTTGCTTCATATTTATTATGAAATAAACTTTTATAATACTTTTGAATATTAAACTACAATTAAATCATTATGTGAAGTTCGAAAAATATCATTCCTTGAAACAACGTAAAACTCTTTTTGAAATCGGAACAACATGTTATAACTGCTATACAATTTTATCTGTGTTTTTCCGTATTTTTATAGGCTATATAAGAATATGGATTTACTTGGTTTCTCTCAAACTTTAAAAGATAGACAAAAATTTAAGTTAAAAAGACTGTTAATTGTTCACAATAACAAACGAAAAAAAAATTAATACTCTTCATAAACAGATCAATCGAGAGGTGAAGACATGTTGAAGTATCATCTACACTAAAGATATAATTAAGATTTTAACGAAATCAACGTTTATTTGAAATAGTTGATGCAAAAAGAAACAGCGGTAGTTTTTAATTCTATTCTCATACCGTCGTTTTGTAAAAAGACAGTGCCATCTGTTGTTCTGACAAGATGGAATATTACCATTATTTTTTGTCTTTTCTTTTTCTTTTACCTTGTCATCATTCGTTCTCGCTCAACCCTATATATATGAACTTTAATGACTTGTTTGTTGGTGTTATTGTTGATTTTATTTCTATTTTTATAGTTTTAACTACTCATCGTTTATTTACTTAAATAAATTAGATAAATACACTGAAACTTAGATATAATAGAATATTGTGATTATACACATATGAAGTCATTCAGAGTAACTTCTATTTACAAAAAAAAAGAACACTAGTTTAAAAGTATCTGACTAGAGAAAAAAAATTGAATCTGACAATTAATTTATTTATTTATAAGAAAAGAAATGTATATACGCATTGAATGGCAACGAGACAAATACGTTCGAAAAGTTTACTTCTAAGAGTTTAATTTTAATAGACGTACAATAGAATTTTATTTGAATTTGATAAAAAGTCAATATAATACTCTCTAGACCTATTTTATTCAATGCGCTAACATTATATATCATTCAATATAAGATACATCATAAGTTTTTAATTATATACATTAAAATATTATTAGAAGTTCTACAAAAGTATTGTTTTTTAGAGCACAAGTTATACGTATAGCTTTTCAGAACTTTGACATTATTATTAATATAAAATGTTATTCTTTTGTTACGTAAGTAAGTCTAGGTATCTCATGATCTCTCTATGAATCCATACAATGTTTTCTAAATTGTCATAAGAAATATATACATATTGCAATTAATAACAATGTCTTTTAGATATGGCAAACGCAGCAGAAAGAAAGACACTATGCTCGATATGTGAAAAAGCAGCTGGCATATTTACTTGTCGTGGATGTCAAAAAGATTTTTGTTATCGTCATGTAGCTGAACATCGACAAGAACTTAATAAACAAATGGATGAACTCACTACTAATCATGATCAATTACAACAAACAATTGTCGAACAAGAAGCACAACCAAATTGTCATCCTCTTATACAAAAGATCAATGAATGGGAACAAGAATCAATTAATAAAATTCATCGAACAGCTGATGATGCTCGTAAACAAGTTATAACTATTCTTGAAATGCATAGAACACAAGTAATACATGATTTGACATGTCTTACAGAAAAGTTAAGCGAAGCTCATAAGGCAGATGATTATGTTGAAACAGATTTGAAAGAATGGATGGAAAAACTTGACAAATTAAAAGTTGATTTGAATGCATTTCAAACGATCGATTTCAGTGAAGACAATAATAAAAATGCATTGGTTTCAAAAATTTTTATCAATGATGCATCAACTGACATGTTTCATCAAACCGTGGGCGATATTCAAATTATTGAAGATGGAAAGGTTGCAGTGCATCTTCTAACAAATGGCCATGCTGCAGTACGATGTAGAGGGGAATATTCATTGGGAAAACATCGATTTCATTTTAAAATTGAAGGATTGAATAATCCTCCTAGTTTTTCTTGTGGTATCATATCAAAAAATACACCTACAGATTCAATTTACATGGCACCGGTTAATTATAATATGCATGGACGTGGCATTAACCCTGTAACTCAGAAATATCTCAATCATAACGTCCTTGTTTGCTTTACCGGACATAATCATTATTTTCAAACAAATGTAACATACGAATTTCTAGTTGATTGTGATGAAAAAATAATACGTTTAACAAAAGGAGAATCAGGCAACACAAGGGAACTCAAAGTTAACTTAACTACTTGTTCATTGCCTTGGCAGGTTTTTATCGGATTGTTCAGTGCCAATGATTGTGTTCGCCTCTGCTAACATCTTTACTTAATAAGAAGAGACAAATATTCATAAGTATTGATATGTACTCCCTATAATATATTTTAATCATATTTTATATTATTAAGTTGTCTTCAATGTAGTTTTTTTTTGTAAAAATAAAATATCAATATTTCTTTTAGTCTCTAACATTGAATTATCCAATTGTAACAAAATAGATTTTTAACACTCAATGATTTTATAGTTTTGTATCATTACATAAAAATGTATTTCGTGCAATAAAAACGTTTTTTTCTGATACAGTAAAGTGAATCTTTTTTACATCAACAGTTGATCAAAAGAAATTGGAATAGGCCTAGTTTCTTTTAAAACTAATGTTATCTCAACTTTAATTGAAACATGTATTAGTGGATGTTACTATAAATTATCTTTAATAGAATACTTATGAAATTCCAAAGTATAAATCTCTAGATATAGTCACACACATTGATTATTATCATGATAACTTAAAAGAAGGTCAACACTTTCCCATATACTTTTCATTTTAATAGATTCATAAATAGCCTCATATTCATATTAAAAAACCTATAGAAAGTTCAATAATGTTAACCTTCCCTTTATGAGAGCTTCCAAATACTCCTAACTAGCAAGAATTATATGATCTAATCTTAAGATGTATCAAATAGCAATTTATTAAATAATAAATAAATGTATATACAAATGTCTTTATCACTTTCATCTTGTACAAAAGATTGAAGATGGCATCAAGAAAGAAATTAGATTATGCCACACCATTATCAAAAACGACAGATTTATCTTTCTGAGGTAAACTGGCAATAGCTGATTCGTAGGCTTCATCAAGATCAGTATGAAAGAGTGGTCGATTAATATCTAGAATGGGAACAAGTACAACAGATGCATTGTTTGCACCACCATCAATATTGCCATGTACATTTGCTACAGAAAAAACTGAATGTCCTTGTTCAGATGAACCAAATCCAGCTGAAATAAGTGCACGTTTTAACCAAGGACGTGATAAACCGACAAAGTGCCAATTAACTTTTTTATCTGCATAATGATCTAATTGTCGACGAACATCAACAAGAGTTTGTAGACCAGTTATATCTAAATGAGCAACACCACTAAAGTCTAAAATTAAGGCATGTAAATATGGACGTTGATCATCTTTCTGTTGATTCTTTTCTGGATGTCGACTTGTCTTCAAATTCCACGGTTGTTCACCAAGTGAACCATATAGATTAGCTTTACCTTGTTTTGTTTCACGAAAAATTTGTTCAACCATAAGTTCAACATAATGATTGGCATTTGGATAGAGAAAACTTTCATTCAATCTATAAATAAAGATACCGTTACCAGATGATACAGGAATAATTGTTGGATTTGATCCATCAGAATGATCAAGTGGTACATAAATATTTCGAGTTGTTAAATGAATATAATTATTAATCGATAATTTAACTTGTTCAACTTGAACTCGACCAACAAATTGACCACGAGCTTTAGCAATACGAAAAAGTAGTAGAACACCAGAGGAAATAATTGTTGTATAAATACCGATTTCAATCGAAGAAAATATTGTTACAATAACTCCAATCCAAAAGATAAAAAATTCAATTGGACTTACTTGCCAAAAAACTTTTAATGTTTGTGGTCCAGCAATAAGATCACCAACAGCATGAATAATAACTGCTGCTAGACTAGCTTGTGAAATCCAATAGAACATTGCTGGTAAAGCATAAATACCTAGAATAATTAATGCACCACTAACTACACCAGCTAGCGGTGTTCGTACACCTGCTTTAGACTTAATGGCTGTTCGTGAAAATGAACCTGTCGCTGGATAGGCACCAAAAAATGGTCCAAATATATTTGTTACACCAATAGCAATCAATTCTTGATTTGGATCAATAACATAATTATTAATTCGACCAAATGATTTAGCTATAGCAACATGTTCAATAAGAAGAACAATAACTGTTGATGGTAGATATGATAGAAAAGCACTCAATAATGATCGATCAATATAGGGTACGCCCATATTTTGAAAACCACGTGGAACTGTGCCAAGTAGAGTCGTTCGTGGATTTTTTGGATTATGACGATTGATTAACCACGAAATAAAAAGATAGAGAAGAATAACAAATACAGCACGAAGTGTACTAATAAAAAAAAATAATTTTTCTTTCGTTGGAAAACGTTTACTTGCACGAAGACAAATAAAACGAATTAAATAAAGTAGAAAGAGTGATGTTAAACCGAGTGCAGCATTTAAAT